ATATTAGAAGCTAAAGAACTAGTGTTGCTATTTGAAGAAAGATTGTGCTCAAATAAAAAAAACTTATATGATGGAGTTTGCCATAAAGATGAGTAAGACTTTTGTCTTATATAAAATAAGACATGAAAAGATATAAAATTATAAAGTGATTTGATCTCACAAGCATTATTAGTTGTATTAACGATCTCATAAAATGGATTTTCCCATTGTATTATTTCAGTGAGCCAAGGAACTTGGATTTAAGGTATTGATTCTTACAAGATTTAATCATTTAACATTCTCCTGCTCTTTTTGTTGCATAAACTAAAATAATTCTAATTCTTTGTTTACCTTTGCATTATTTCCTTTCAATCATTATTCTTTTCATTAAGCCAGAATGGTCACTAAGTGCTTAGTAAAACCAAAGTTAGGACTTCAGGATTTGATTGAGCATTATTTTGACAAACCAAATAATTGTTAACATTATAAACACTTTTAACTTTTTCTAGTCAAACTTTAACTTCATTATATCATCTACAAACCCTTTGTTCTTCTAAAATCTTAACTCCTCTAAAGGTAAAGGGGTCATTGCAGATCTCAGTGGAGTGGAGTGGAGATCAGAATTTGATTCATACAACCAACATTTCATACAAAGTAGTATTATAGTGAACATACTTCATTTTGGCTTTTGTTTTTAATAGCAATAGCCTCACCCCCTCACACTTACAACTAATTTGTTATTTTGATGTCATTAACTGGTGTTGCCTTTTAGAAATCAAACTGATTTTCTTCATGACAGGGTAGTGTGTTAACAAATGTATTCATTCACAAAATATAGTAAAAGGATAGCTAAATTAAGCAAAGCAATAGCAGTACAACAAACATACCTGTCAGAAAACATTAGAGGGATGATAAAGATATTATTAAGAATGAAAATCACCAGTTTTATTAAACTGTAATACATATTTTGGTGCATTTTTGGACAGGAAAGGTATAATGGTCACTTTTAAAATGCTAGCACTTTTTCACCCAAACTAGCATTATTTTTCACTCTGTGTACCTCTTGCACATCTTGCCACCATGTTAAAAAGAAACATTTATCAGCAAGAAAACATCATTATTTAAATAAAATCTTAAGAGTTTCCTGAAAAATAAATCAGGTGCAAATACTGAACTGTACCCTCCGCCCCACCCTCCACCCCCATCTCACTTCATATGATAATTTCTTCCATGGTCACCACTAAATCTTGATCTATTCCTGCTCTCTGTATGGGTCATTGATTCTAGATGTACCATGGTTATTTTAAAATGTTTCCCTTTTGTAGAAAAAAAGAAAGCTGTCTAGAGCCAGATGGGTAACTTCACACTTCATTTATCAAACCCAATGCATTAGGCTCCACCCTCTCCTTCCCCACTATTGCTGTTAAGCTTCCATATAATTTGGTAATAATTTTCATTATCATATGGTGACCCTAAAAAGCCTACAACAGTTTGCCCAGTCCGTTCAAACTCCACAGCTGTTCTATTTAGCTTCTATTCATTACAGTAGATGCTGAGGTTCCTTCTACTTTATAAACTGAAGACTGACCTTTTGTGAGCAGAGGTCAAGAAGGGGTCAGTTCAAAGGGCTCCAGCAGTTCTTTAACAGCTATAACAACCTGTCCATCAGACACTATCATGCACTACAAACAAATGTGATGCTTTAGAGACTCTGGGCCATCTCTGTTAACACTTAGAGACTATTCATATAGTCCTACCTGAGGTATTACCAATCAATTTAGATTAATTTGCACCTGAAAGGCCCTTTTAGATAGCATCTTCTAGCATCTAAAATGATATGTCATAACCCTAAAAGGAGGACTGTGTGATTTGAACTGTGGTGCTGTAACAGAAATTCAATGTAGTATCAACCAATCATTATGCAGACGACTCATATTACATAAAAGCACAATCACTTTAAAATGAATGTCCAGTTCTGTCCATATATTTTTCATTAAAGGTATCAAAAACACAAGTGAACCTGCTGAAAAAACAAAATGCTTTCATTACTCTAAGAGTACATAAGTGCATAGTAAAGTTTTTGCCATCTGCTCTCTTTTAGTTGACCTAAATTTCTTGAAGTTATACTGTTCATAATGTGCTCTCTAATGTGCAATGTAAGGTAATTAGAGTCATCTGTATTTAACTTCCAGAGGAAAAAAATTCTATTATCTAATCTAGCTGATCCCCTGATAGCCTGCTGAAAGTAAAATACTGTAACCTATTGCCTGCCCTTTGACAAGTGCTAATTATTTCCTGTCCAAGCACATTTTTCTCATGTAATTCCAAAGTACACAATAGACTGCTCTCTAAAACATGGGCAGCTTGCTATTACCATGGCGGATGTTTTATAACTTTCACCACCATACGCTTGATGGCTACCACAGTCAATGCTTCATTCCAGACATCTAGCTGAAGCTTTGATGAGGCAAAGTGAGGTGTATGGTAACAGTCTGTTTATGTAGATCATATGGATGAGACTCTTAGATAGGTCACTGGGATGGGGAACATCAAATGAAAAAAGGATTATGGTTATTTAATACTCAAGGGATGCTTTCTTTCTGAGCTTTCAAGACACCACGCTCTTGAAATTTTCTTTCAGGTGTTTAGTTTTAAAGAGGCCTGCACTTTGTCTGCTATTTAAGCTTTTTCCCAGCATCCCCCTCAAAAAGATTTTATTTTTGTGCCAGAGACTAGATTATATATACTTCTTCAATACTGGCTCCAGCTTCTGATTAAACTCTTAGTCGTATGCAAAGGCCAGAAACAATGTAATCAGACTCCTTTTAAACAAGTCACTATTGTCATGATTGCTGGTATATTGGAAAATTACTGTTAAATCAAATGAAAACTAAAAAGATATACCATTCATTACAACTGTTTATTGCTGGCCTGTCTCTAGAAAGGCCCCCTTTTTCTCTCCATTGAAGTGATATATTCCAAGAAAAGCCCTTAGTGCTTTCTTAATTTACAACACAACCGTATTACTTAGATTATTTACTACTACTATTACTAGTAATAATAATTATATTAAATCCAATATTTAAATACTGGATCCAATATTTAAAACAAAAATTGCTTAAAGTTCTTTGGAAAGGTGGAAAGTAACTGGAAAGTCAAGTGACAATGTGAGGAATAGTACAAAGTACTAGTTAGCAAATTACATTTCATGAGGTATTTTCCATTCTAAGATTGAAACTAATTGATATCAGAACGTCCGTTTTTCTACCAACTAAAATAAATCTTATCAGACAAGGCTCCTAATTTGTTCAAATAAGTGTTACTACATTGTAGTGTTTGAACCCAGGGGTTTCTAGAGGTCATACAACAGTTAAAATAAATACAGAAAAACCAATCAAGAGCCAGGTTTCATAAGCACCACTGACTTTTTGAAACAGAAGTCAATTGCCCAGAATTTTTTGTAGCCATAAAAAATACCAAATTAATACACACAATAATCTCTTTTTGGCACAGCCTACTGGAAATAAAACACACCAATAAACAATGACCTTGATCAACATAATCTCATCAGAATATATATGCTGGGCTAATAAGACCTTGGATACAAAGACAGGACTCCTATTGAGTTTAATAGTACATATGTACATATACAAGAGTAGAATTTGGCCCACAATTACAGTAGGTCTTTACATTTAACTGATCCTCAAAAAGCAAGAACAAAATATTATTAAAACATGTATAAGTAGTATACATGCATTTAAATAAATCTGAGAATGTTAAAGGAAGAGTTAGTTATTTAGGAGCCATAAAAGTGAAGGGCAATTCCATGAAGCAAACCATGGCGGCATACAATGGAAATTTACTGTAGTGAATTTTCATTTTTTTGTGAATAGGCCAGTTGACTAGAAAAGGCACAGTACTTATAAGCAGCTGAAAGTATTATTTATCCATTGTCACTGAAATGCATTTCACTAATTATGTTCTCTAGAGTTGACCATAGTTATAGTTTCATTATTAACTAAAAATGTATACAGTTAAAAAAATACCTGTTTAAAAAAAAAATGTATCCACTATACATATACTGGAATCTTTTAATCTATTTTTGTCAATCGACAGTTGTATCTTCCCTTATTTTATTATGCTCTCTCATTTTTTTTCTTTTTTTGTTGCTGTGTAAAAATTCCATGCACACAATAACAGAAGAAATTGACCACACTGAAGCAGTAGTCAAATACACAAAGCACTGTCAAACACATAATGTAAGCCATTTGAATAAGGTGGAGAGCAGGAAATTCTCCTACCCTTCAACTCTAGTCTTATCTCCCACTGACACTATTATATGAATTCCCACTGGTGATATTTAGATTGTGCATATGTGTAAGCATTAACAGCAATGCAACTACTTGTAGAATTCAGACAATAATACTGTCTATTCTTTTTCAGGTTCTTAAACCGCACCTATCAGCATGGTATCCCAGCAAGTATTATTTATTGGAAGAGTAGGTAAAACCTCTTTTGAATGAAGTATGATTAAGTTGGGTGCATTCTTTTAAGGGGATATGCTGTTTATCAGGGTTTCAATTAAATAAGCTACTGCAGCAATACTGTGAGATCATATATGGAAACATATGGTTATTAAACTCAGACAGAAACATTACTAGACTAGTAAACAGTACAACTTGCATATCAAAAATGTGTCAACTTCCTCTTTGTGTTTTTATTTGAGTTTGTGAATAGTGTGTGTGTGTAGGGCCGTCTCAGGGTCGGGGGGGTGGGCCCCGTGCTTTGGAGGGCCCGGTAGACAGTGCTGTATAGGCCCCCCGGCAGCCACTGCTGGCTCCATGCTCCTACTGCTTGCCATCCCGCTCTCCCCACCCACTCTGTGCTCTGGCTGCTCACCACCCCCCGGCCAGCAAGGGCTGATATGCCCCAGGCCCCACATGCCCCTAAGGACAGGGGTGTGTGTGCGTGCGCGTGCTTTCAAGGCCTAGCTATATTTTCCTATTCTGTAGGGTTCTCACCTTGCTGTCCATTCTTTGCGTAGCTCTTGTCGTTCAGTAAGAAATGGTAAGAAGCAGCTGACTATTTCATTCCTTTGTTCCATGGTACATTCCTCTTTTCCAACTTCACTGAGCACCAGGCTTGTCTTAAAAAAGAAAAAAAACAACAGCAGCATAAAAATTATAATCTGAAAATAGGAAACAAAGCATAAAATTAATAATAAAAAAGCCCATAAGCAAATAAGGACAGTAAATCAATGGCTTTTTATTACAGTTCCACTGCTGACAAATCAATACAGTAAATGATGGTCAAAAATGGCCACCATATATTTGGTATTTAATCAATGTATGTGGCACATAAGGTAAACCTTAAAGTCTCGCTGCCTTAAGTAACACAAGATACTGTGCATTTTTCAAGATACAATTCCTTTTCTTTTGTGTTTTCTGTATGAGCTATTAGAAATAATTCTGTTATATTTTTTCCTTTAACACTTGCAGAATAACACTGGCTTTTCTTTAACACTGAATAACTCAATCTTTATCTATACTGTATCTTTGTAAAAAAATGTTTGATTAAAAGTGCTAAGCCTGTTTCCACCTCCTCTCCCCCCCACCCCCAAATAACCACATGTTTACAGTAAATTAGCAACAAAACAAAAGAACAGTTATAACTGGGGGCTGACCAACTAGTGGCCCATGGGTTGCATGTGGCCTGTGAAGTTATCACATGGCCCCCAGCAGTAGTAGTATCATGTGGCCCCCAGTCTCCCACCCAGCTGCCACTGCCTTTACCATTCTGGCTCCCCCACCTTCCTCCAGCTCTCACTCCATACTCCTCAGACGGTGGGATGGCATAACATAGCCCTTGGTGCTGAGGCAACTAGCATCCTGTACTTCCATGTGGCCTGGTGCCTTACAGGAATCTACAGATGGATAGCTGAAAGTGAGGTAGGGGAACCAAGTGTGGTTGCAACAGTTGGGGATGCCTGCATGTGCACACAATGCAGGAGGGGTGGGGAGTAAGCACCTGCATGCACACACTGTGCAGCCTAGAGGGCCCTTGGCCACTGCTGGTGCAGCTTGTGCGGTATGTGGCCCCCAACTACTTAGAAGCTGGATCGTCCTGGTATAACTGACCAACTCTTCAGTGTCTGGAATAAAGTACATATAGTCACAAAGTATCCATACAATGACATTCAGTCATCTTTTGGACCAAGATAACACTTAGTCCCTGGAGACCACATTATACTTCAATTTGAGACAGACACATTTTATAGCCATACACTGCCATGTTTTCTTTGTATAGCTCGTGAACAGTACAAACTTTATCCGATTGCACAGACTCAAATTTCAGAGTAGAAGGGACTTCAGGAAGTCATCTAGTCCAACCCCCTGCTCAAACTAGGACCATCCCCAACTAGATCACCCCAGCCAAGCCTTTGTCTAGCCAGGTCTTATAAACCTCCAAGGATGGTGATTCCACAACCTCTCTGGGTAACCTGCTCCAATGTTTTACTACTCTCCTTGTGAGACAATTCTTCCTAATATCCATCCTAAACTTCCCTTGCTGCAACTTGAGACCGTTACTCCTTGTTCCATCATCTGAGAACAGTCTAGCTCCATCCTCTTCTGAACCCTGCTTCAGGTAGTTGAAGGCTGCCATTAAATCCCCTCTCAGTCTTCTCTTCTGCAGACTACATAACCCAATTTCCTCAGCTTCTCCTCATAAATCATGTGCTCCTGCCCCCTAAACTATTTTTGTTGCCCTCTGATGGACTCTCTCCAATTTGTCCAGATCCTTTCTGTAGTGGGGAACCCAAAACTGGACATGATACTCCACGTGGGGCCTCACCAGTGCTGAATAGAGGGGAATAATCACTTCATTTAATCTACTGGCAACACTCCTAACAATACAGCCCAGTATGCTGTTAGCCTTCTTGGAAACAAGTGCACACTGTTGGCTCATATGCAGCTTATTGTTCACTGTAACCCCTAGATTCTTTTCTGCAGAGCTGCTGCCCACCTGGGAAGCACCCAGTCTGTACTGGTGCATGGGATTGTTCCATCCGAAGTGCAGGACTTGGCACTTGTCCTTATTGAAACTCATTGTCAACAAAGCAACAAGCCCGAGGGATTGGAGACTCCTGCCCAGGGGGGAGAAATGTGGTGAGGGAAGCCCGAAGACCCGGGGAGATGGATCAGAAAAAACCATGACACAGGAAAACTTACCCTGTGCAGGCACAGCAGCAGGAAGCAGGGAGCAGTGGGCAGTACCGCCCGTGCATTTCATTAGTAAACTATTGGTGCGGCTGGGACCATGTGGAGCCATGACATCATCAGCCAGCACTGGAAGCCAGCTACAAAAGCTGGCTGCAGAGGGAATGACAGGGAGCAGTAGCAACACTACAGCTGTGTGCTCCCAACTGGCACTCCCGGCCATGTTACAGCCCGGGCATGCCAGGGACAGTCCAGAAGAGGATTCTGCCTTCCAGGATGGTGACTCCCTGGACCAGAGACGAGAATGGAACCAAGGGTCCAAGGGCCCAGCCAATCTCAGGGACATGCTAGTGGAAGGAAAAACCACTGCCTTCCTGTCTTTGCCTTTTATTTTCTTAATTATTGCCAGGACCTGGGATAGAGGCTATGTTTAGTTGTTACCCATGCCAGGACCGAGAAGCCTCTCAGGGACTCCAGGGTGGAAGACTGTGTTTTGGCCAGGCTGGCTGGCCTGTCTGACCCAGGGCAACAGTCACAGGGAGCAAGACCATTTCCCTGAATTCTTTAAGCTTTTGCAGGCTAAGCATGACAGACAGTGACTGGTCATCCACTAGTGTGCCCACAGCCACTGCACAGGCCAACCAACCTAGCAGGTACCTACAAAAGACCCAATCGGGGTGACACTGCATGCTGGAACTTGGATGAGCCAAGGTCATCAGCTGCACACCAGAGACCATAGGGTTGGTGCATGGAAGTGGTGTAGGGGAGGCGGAGCCCTAAGGACATCTGTACGGAGCACCTCCAAGTGAGTCTGAATCAAATGGGAACCTCTTGCATCTACTCCTAAGAACAAGATGTGGCAGGTAAGCAATGGGGGCTTCCCTTTGAAGACAGCACCTGGCAGACATTACTGCCAGAAAAAGACAAAGCCAGAGCAAGGATCACCCAGCCCCAAGCTGCTCGAGAACGGCTGTTCAAGCTTAGAAGGACACACTCATGAGATTACTTTTGGTCCAATCTTCCAAACTTGGAAGGGAACTCTGCATGGCATGAAGACAACAGTGTGCCCTAGGGTGGAGCAGGGAAAGCAAAAGGAGCAATCAAAGCTCCAGTATCTGGGGAAATTATAAACTAAGGTTTAGACAAATGTAACAATTGTATACATATCAAAGGATACTGAAACAAACTATTACAGTGCAATTGTTTCATCCGCACAAACCTGTAGCAATACAAATGTAACAAAACTGATTCATTCAGGATGAAAGTAAGGGTGATTTACCTGACTTGAAGTATTATAAGATTGTGTAGAAACAATAGTTACAATAGTTACATAGTAACTACTGTTAAGGGTATAGCAGCTCTTCACATTTGAAAGAGCCACCTGGATACCACGTGAAGAACTGCTGCAGTACAGAAGAAAACCCCCCACAAATCGCACACCGCTGGTTATGACGTATCACCCCTCCCTTGAACCTGTATGGAAAATCCTCAAAAAATTGCAACCCATAGTAGACAGAGACCCTATTCTTAAAAAGATCTTCCCAGAGCCACCCATCCTAGCCTTCAAACAAGCACCGAACCTCGCCAACCTCATCACCAGAAGCAAACTTCCTCAAGCCCAGAACACACCAAAAGGATCCAGACCGTGCCATGACAAGAAATGCAAAACCTGCCAACACATCTCCACCACCCCCACAATTACTACACCCCACAACAGAGCCATCAGCATCCCTGGATCTTACAGCTGCACCTCCAGAAATGTAATATACCTCATCCAATGCACCAAATGCCCTGATGGAAAATATGTAGAAGAGACCAAACAACAACTGCTCACCAGAATGAACGCACACCGGAAATCTATCAAAGACAGAAATACCCAATTACCGGTGGGAGCACATTTCTCACAGGAGGGCCACTCTCTCTCCAATCTCTCAGTCCTGATCCTCAAGGGAAACTTACACAACACTTCCCAGAGATGAGCCTATGAGCTCCATTTCATCAACCTCCTGGATACTAGAGATCATGGACTAAACATAGACATTGGATTGTTGATACATTATAATCTGCCTGGCAACTGACTCCCCAGCCCAGCATCTGGCTTCTTTACTTTTCATTCCATCCAGGAAGAGCACACACCAACTGCTGAAACTTCCTTAGCCTGACGAAGGGGTTTTGAACCCGAAAGCTTGCTTAATAACTATTCTCCAACTATTTGGGTTGGTCTAATAAAAGATATCAAATTCACCCAAGGAACCTTGTCTGCCTAAAACAAGAGCATGAATTCAATATGCCAAATAAGAATGTGAAGGGCCAGATATGGCTTGCTCTGCAAGAGAGACAGGAGAGCATGCGAGTAAGAATCAGCTTTGCTGGAGCAGATTTTCAGATATACGGGCATCTTTAGATGTGCTGCACAGGAAAGAAGAGGAGAGACACTTTAATTAGAGCTGATCTAATTAAACCACCCTCAGCATCTTGCGAATTCAACGTCCCACACTTCAAAATGGTGGTGGGGGTGTTTTAACTAAAACTCATTTATTGGTGTTAAACCACCCCCTGTCACCATTCTGAAGAGTTGAGATGCTGAATACATGAGACACCAAGGTTGTTGTAGCGTGCCATTTAGCCTACTCTAGCAGACTCAATTAATTGAGTCTCAATTAATTGAGTCTGCTCTGTGTGCTAATTAACACACACTGGAGCGGTCATTAGGCATGTGTTTAGGTGCCCTATATGCCAGTGGGATTTTGAAAAATACCCTATATATGAATTATGCACCTAACACCAAGTGGTGTCCCATTATAATCTAGAATTTATGTAGCTAATCAGTTTAGGAGCGTTGAAATGTCATTAGGTGACTACCTACATCTTTAGGCACCTAATACTTTTGAAAACCCAGTACACCATGGCTGTGGAGTAGCACCATTAC